GCAGTTCCTACTATCTCTGTCACAAATATAAAGATCCATTTGCAGACAACACTCAGCGTAATCTATCGAGATGTTTAATTGCAATTGGACTATCAAAAATGACAAGCTGACTATTTTGTGTGGCTAACATTAACCTCAAATCAATGTTTATACAGAGAAACTGCCTGATAGTTGACTGCAGTTTTATGGCTGTTAGGCAATGATATAGGAGTAAGTGAAATGTGATCAGAAAGAGCAGGCGGCCAGGTTTGAAATGTTTCTTTTCTTGTTTGTTCAAGGTTTAATCAGACCATTCCACGGCTAAACCCACCACCACCTGTCATGAGGAAGCGTTCAGCTCGGTCGCTCCTGCTATCTACTGAGACAACCTCGCCTTGCATCAAGCAAGTGGTCATGAACAGCCTGTTGCAGTCTTCAGATGCGTCAAGTTTTACAGATGTTTCCTCCTGTACTTTTGCACCATCTGACTTTGAATCAGAAGTTGGACTGTCTGCAGAGGAGCGAACAACCCAGTTTCCACCTGCAGCTCTTCCTGCAGGAGCCAAAGCTCGCGGTTTGATTCTCAGCAAAGAGTCAAATGAGCAAAACAGAATTCCAAGCACAACTGAAAGCTGTGAGAACCAGGCTCAGACAATGATGGCCCTTGTAGATTTCTCACTCCGCAGCCAAGCCAGCTCCTGTGATGGTGTGGAGCTGGCCGAAACCAGTCCACCTTTCTCCCCACCCTTTTCCCCGTCAATCAATGAGACCTGCTTGCACATCAGCTTCTCAGAGGATGAGCTGTTGGACAATGATGCTGAAGATTCAAGAGAACGTCAAAAAGCCTCAATAGAAGATGCAGAGGATCAAAATTTAAATAATCTAACCTCTGACTAAAGCTCTTTGTTGTTACAGGAATATTTAATGACCTTCGTCTTCAGTGATCTCAAATTATACTCGTGTGCATTTCAAGATCAGCTGACTTCAAGTGATGGAAGAGTTGACAGGTCTGGAAAGCCTTTCACAATACCTTACATGATTACTAGTTTTCTGAAGGGGGATTTCTCCAGTAGGAGATCTGGAGTTTGACACTAAATTCAAGATTGTCAACAATCAAGGCTGAATTCAAGCCAGCTCTACAATTCCAAGTTCGTCAGGGCTCAAACCTAGATGGACTGTGAGAAATCCAAAACTTTCAAGGAACGTGCTTCAGACAGTGCACATTTTTCAGGGATGTAATAATCAAGAAATGCAGGAGATAAGTGTCATATTCAATATTGTATGAAGGGTACCTGTCCGCAAACTTTCCTGTTTCTGCTCAGTGTAAATCACACTAATGTTCACCTTGTAGGTGTCACTTGTACAATGTGGAAGGGAAGAAAACAATTAGAGACTTCTTAGTTGAGGTTATTTTGTTCCTCAGCCTCTAAAGGTGAGCTCTTTCTGATATACCGTCCAACAATTTGGTGACCTCCTCATTGTAATGTTGTCAAAGTTCCTTAAGCTGCAAGAATTCAAAGCCCCTCAGCAGCTCAGAGAATAAGGTGCTGGCCATTCAAAGATTCCTTTTACACCCACAAAGATATAAAGGTACAGCACAGTGAAGTCAACAGGCTACAGACAAATAGGATTTGAGGGGGACATTGGAATGAGACCTTATGGGAATGAGACCTTAAGGAAAATTGAGTGTAGAATATATCAATTAAAATTACCCCATTGCTGAGGCTGGCATCACTTTGTAAGACATTTCCACTTACACTGTGCAGATTGTGAAATTATCAAATGTAATTTGAACTCTTGCACTGTCATTTACTGAAGGGCTGACTGAGAAAGCAATTTGTATACACACCTTTATGTTGAGTCTGTTTTACACTGTATATACTTGTGTTGAATACACTATTGCATGTGTTAATTCTTAGAATCCCTACAGTATGGAAGCAGGCCATTTGGCCCATTGATTCACACCGACCCTCTGAAGAGCATCCCACCCCAACCCATTCCCCTACCCTATCCTATCCCGATAACCCTGCATTTCCAATGACTAATCCACCTGGTCTGCTTATCCCTGGACACTACAGGCAATTTAGCATGGCCAACCCACCTAACCTGCACATGTTTGGACTGTGGGAGGAAACCGGAGCACCCGGTGGAAACCCATGCAGACACAGGTAGAACGTGCAAAGTCCACATAGTCACCCAAGGCTGGAATCGAACCCGGGTCCCTAGTGCTGTGAGGCAGCAGTGCTAACTACTGAGCCACAATGCTACCCTCTTACTATCTCACAATTCTTACTATCTGTCAGAAGTAAGACTCTATTATGTCCCACATTGTGACATGGATCAGATAGTAAATGATGGCTTTACTTTTGAGCTGCTTTCTTTCTTCTGTGTCTCAGAAGAGATCACCTACAATTGCTGCTGGACCATTTGTCCCAGTGACATCAGATTTCTTGCATCTTGCTTTAAGTGTATGTGAATCTTCCCTTCAGCATTTTTACTTTGTCTGATTTTGAAACTGAGAATAAGTGGCCTGCAAAGGGAGAGTAAAGTTCAGGTTGGACTTTGAGGTATGTGTTCTACAGTCAAAAGCCACATGTTTCATAGCAGGGAAAGAATTGAGTGGGAAGTTTAGGGCTGCATACACTGTGGCATGATTTTAACTAATTCAAAACCCATACAATTGCACAGAATTAAAATCAGACCTGACATCTGAAAGTCACAAGAGTTAGACTGAAACAGCTGTGCCCTTGCTTAGTTTCCATTGACATAGTTCTGCTGGCAACCATACTGCGTTTTGCACAAGCAGCTTCAATCTAGCTGCAGTTGTCTGTTTCTTAAAATTTGCTTTACAAAATTCCTGGGACATTTTATTAAGCTAAAGGTGCTATAAATACAGCTTGTTGTAGTGGTCTAAAGATTAGGTGAAAAGCCTACGCATGAATCCTTTCAGACTCCTAGCCTCCACTGTATAGCTGCTGCCCAATGGATAGGCAGACAAGGACAGATTGTCACTTACCCAGAAATTACATCGACTGTAAAGTGGACAAAAAGTGTTGCAAAATGGAGGACTGTAACATATGATTTTCTTGACAGTTGAAACACCTTCTTTGAAGTATTTTCTTTTATTAGTCTCCCTATGCCACACTCCCGCCATACCTGATGAAACAAGCACACAGACCCTGAAATGTTAACTCTGCGTTTTCTCCACAGATTGTCACACACTCACCGAGTTGCTCCAGCAATTTCTGTTTCGTCCCTCATAGAACAGGGCTGCTTTGTAACCCTGGCTGTGGGGCACTGTCTTTGCAGTTGACACTTGGCCCTTGGCGCCTGACAACCGTTGTCATCTGTCCCTCCTCCCAGACCCAGCTCTATCTTTGTTGTGCAAATGTGGCAATTATTTCTCTTGATCTGCAGCTGATCTTTATTTGCACTGCTGATAGCAATTTGAAAGAGATGGGAATAATCCTTCCTGATGACCAGTAGCTGCATGCCACATTATTTAAATGGTTCAAAGCAGAAATAAAGGTTTAAACTGTTGATTTAGAGGCAACCTTTTGAAGTTTTCCACAGATTTTCATCCCAAATCATCCAAACACAGTGAGCTCTGCAGCTGATTACAGACATGTTCCCAGCGAAGCTATCTCATACAGGCAGGCATGAACACATTACTCTAATTTTGTTTGGCTGCAGATGGGACAACAGGTTGAAGTACTCCCGGTAGGAACTGATTCGAACAAAATTATTATAAATTGTGCCCCTACAGAAAGATCTCCTGGATACAGTTTGCATTAAACAAAATATGATTGGAACTGGCATTGTAGACTTGTGGTTAGGATAAACAGGTAATATTGTATTTTACTCACTGTACATGATTAAAAGTTTTTTTTATTGTTACGCAGTGTTTTAGCAGGCTAGAAAAATACGGTCTTGATTGATTCAGTACACCCTGGTACATTGACACAGATTACTTGTGGCTTGGAGACAGTAAGGACTGCAGATGTTGGAAGCTAGAGCCAATAAATGTGGAGCTGGAAAAGCACAGCAGGTCAAGCAGACAGCATACTTGTGGCTTGTTTTGACTGAAGTTGCCAACAGTTGCATCTCATTGGAGATGGATGCATGGGCTGAGGCTCACTAAAGGTTTGCTGACTTAGTACAGCTTGGAGTGTTTGTTGGTTGAAGCTTCTGCTGGAAGAAGCACCATTTGGGTAGATTTTAATGTTCTGCTATGGTGCGAAATAAGTGATAGTCGATGGAAATAAAATTGAGGAGAAACACTAACCAGGCTAGCAACATTCTAACATTCATTTTAAAGTATGGCACAAAGTCACAACTATTGCTGATAGAGGATAGTAGGCCCTTTGCACAGGCTCTTTCAAATTAGTCACTCAGTCCCTTTCCATGTACCTTTTTAAAACTTTCCATTCCTAACCAGTAGTCTACACCTTTTGATTCACAGTGGTTTAATTTACATTCTTTTCTATTTTTATTCTAAATTTTGTTTTTTAAATTAATGTCGATTTATTTTAAAGAAAAAATGGCTTTAAATTGCAAAGTGTCGACTTTGATACATTCAAAGTGTCTGACCCCCATTTCAATATTAATACAGCTTTCACCCTAGCAGCAATGTTCTCTCTGTGGGACCTTTATCAATAGAGCATGACATATTATCTTGACAATCCTGCTTGCAGTTGAGCCAGACATTGTTCACAGCTTTCAATTTCAGTCAGTCAACAGAAAATAAGGAGATTCAAATACTGAAACATACATCAGTGTTTATGGCCACAACAGAGAATCACATTCAGTGCCATGTTTACCATTGCAGTATCCCCCACTGGGTTTCCACTCATTCCCCATTTGGTTCATTGGACTGTCCTGTATTAAGCACCAGCTGTTATCTGATGGTTGTTTTGATCAGTATTCCATCAGGAAATATATATGGAGATTAGAAAATTCAATTCTGGAATTCTTGCTCCAAAAAGGTTCTAGATTCTGAGCTAGTTGAAGTGAGAATTTGTTGACTGTAGGTAAAAAGTGTATTAAGGACTTCAAATTACTGTCTCTTAAAAAGTAGGAACTAGGTTTCTAACATGTATAATTTTTTTTCAGATTTGAAGTAAGGAAATAACTGCTATAATATTGATTGGAATGTTGGGTACAGTTAAATTGGTAGGTATGTGTTCTAATAAATAATAAATAATAATAAATGCTGAGTTTTATTGATTCTGATGAAACTTAATTCATTTGTAAATGAAAAGCATTTACCAAGCCCTATTAGTGTAGATTCTTGGTCATTTGCCACCTTTTTCACTGGTTTGAATTGTTCTACTCATTCAGCATTTTCTACTGGCAATAACATGAGCATCAACTGGTATTGAATTCCTTTGTCAACTTGGTTGTGTTCAGTTTTGAATTGTTGCCCCACAATTATTATGGAATCAAGAGTGACCAACTAACCAACTGATTAACTCAGCAATCAGAATTTTAGCATAATAATCTTTTCTATAGCACCTGGAAACAGTTTTTGATCAATGCATTGTGTGTGCAGGTTTTTAAATTCCTTTATTTAGAAAAGTGCATTTATGAAACTAGAACTTGGATCAGCTTTGTGAGTTCCTTGTAGTCAGTTTGAGATGTGCTATCAATGATGCCATACACTGACTGAAAGAGTGGTGGAAGCAGAATAAATAGTAACTTTCAGAAGGAAATTGGAGAAGTACTAGGTGAACAAATTGCAGGGCCATTGGGAAGGAGCTGACAGACATCCAGTGGGTTGAGTAGCCTCTTATTTGTTTGATGCTATCATTCTGAAATGATTAGCATACATTGGGCATCCCTAATGTTTATACAATATTTGTTTCATATCTCTGCTAATAGAACATCTCCGGTGTTTCAGCCTTAAGTAATTTATAGTTAGAATAAAGGTGAAACTGTCAGTGTATTATGTCATTACTGAGCAGATATGTCACCAACTGCTAACATCTGCATATGAACAAGTTACATATAGAAATCTGGATGTTGCTTTCAATGCTATCATGCTCCTGCACTATTTTTGAAGATGCCATCAACCGAGTAACTGAATTTATATGAGCTTCAATTTTTTACTTATTACCCTCACTGTGTAAACCATTAAAAATGCTAAGTTTTGCTGAATGAGGTATGACTGAGCTATGAATGGTACCCCGAAAACCCAAATTTACAAGAGTGGAATTGCATTCCCTGAGTAAAACATTTAATGATTCCATTATTCTAGCAATTATAATTTTTTTTCTCTAAGTTTATTTGTTACTTTCACTTGTGCCTTAATGTGTGCATGTGCCAATCTTCATTTCACTTTCCATAGAGTGACTAAAATGTGAATTTTGAAACCTGCTTCTTATTTCTTACTTTGCTGTCTGTGAAATTTCTTCAACTTGATGGCGTGATCAACCCATCAAGATAGAAGGTGACAAATTCAAATTTACAACTGAATGGAAGAAACCAAACTCTGAAACCTGCTAAATCTAGACAGACAACCTTTTTGGATGTAAATAACCATCATCATCCCTTCACCACTGCCAAAAATATTGGCCATTCAAAATCAGAAGCACAAAGCGAATCCATTGCAAGTTTGAGGTACAACCAGGGCCTTTTTTTTAAAGTGGAATGTAGTCTGGTAGCGCACGTGGCAGAATCCAGTAAACTGTTGCGCAACTTGCATCAACAAAAATTGCTGCTTTCAAAATGCTGCACAGAGAAATGTGCTGCAGAAAACACTGACAATTTATTATTTTGAGACTGCCTCTTTCAAAAAGGCGAAGCAGTGTGGTGAGTGAATGTTGATAACATGATTTTATTATAAAGACACATTGCATGCTCATGAATCACCCCATATGTGTTGGTGGATATAAAGCTGAGAAATTAGAGAATTTCCAGAAATGAATAATAAATTGCTTTCTGGGAAGTATATCTAATGTACAATGCTGATATTCTGACCAACTTT